GACGGGCACACGGACATGCACACGGACACACACACACACACACACACACACACACACACATACTCGTGCACGTTAGCTCGGCCCCCCGGCGCCCGGAAGCTCACCCTGCAGATGTCCACGAGGAAATTCTCGAACAGCTTCCACATGTGGTTGCTGGTGTAGATCTCCTTCATCTCCACCTCGGTGTCCACGTAGCAGTGGTTCAGGAAGTTGATGTAGGCGATCTTGACCTGGGCGGACACAGGCTTTCGTGAACAGCCAACTCGGCTCCTGGGGACTCGATCGCCGCCCCATCTTAACAGTGAGAACGACCCGGACACATTCCACTTCCCCGCCGGATGGCATTCCCTTGGTTTTTTTAATACTGAAAATTCACATTTAGGAAATTTAAAAACACAGAGATTTTGGAAGAGAATAATGTTGTGGATCCTCACCTGAGGCCATTTTATCATAGATTTTTAGAGAGACTGGGTGGTCAGGGGAAGAGAGAGAGACATTGATGGGAGAAGGACACATGGATTGGCTGCCTCCCACTCACGCCCCACCTGGGGCTGGGAATCAAACCTGAGATCCTTTCGGGCCAACGCTCTAACCACTGAGCAACACTGGCCAGGGCTGTTCCTAAATATTTTATAATCTGTTGCTCATTGCTTTTGTAACACAACCGTTCCTTTCACAGGATAAACATACAGGGTCAGGCTTACGTCCACAGGAACCGAACCTTAACCCACTCCCAATGCATTTCTGAGACGTTCGTGGGGATCCATCCCTCTCAGCTCACAGGCTGTGCGACTGGCCCCTCAGAGCGGAAGCACCACAGGGTCTCCGCGCCTCAAGGACACAGAAGGAAAACAAACCTCCCCCACCTTCCTTGTTCCTTTGGCCCCAAATCAGCACTGGAGCAAACGCCACTTCAGCCCACGGAAACCTCACCGCGAATGAGCGGCCGGCCCCCGAGACCGCGAGGCCCCGGCCAGCCCCTGGCGCCACCTGGAGAGACGGGCACCGCGCAGGCTGCTCACCTCGGGAATGCAGTCCTCGTGGGTCACCACGCGCACGATGTCGTCCAGCGGCAGCAGGGAGTTGCACTTGATCTCGGTGTAGACGTTCTTGCCCTCGGTGCACACGGCCAGCAGCTCCACCAGGTGGATGTGGTACATGAGCGGGCTGTTCTCGTCCATGCGGTCCCGCTCTGACCGCATCATCTGGATCAGCGTCTGGAAGGAGGCCCGGTCGTTGTAGAACACGAGCACGTCCTCGCCGGAGTTCACCAGCTGCAGGGACACAGGGCGTCCGCGTCACGGGCGCAGGGGCGGGCAGCATGAAAAGCACATCTCTTCTCGCCCGGCCGCGGGGCTCCGTGGGTAAGGTTTGCCCTATGAGCCAGGAGGTCACGGTTCGATTCCTGGGCAGGGCCCATGTCCAAGCTGTGGGCTCCATCACCACGTGGGGCGGGCAGGAGGCGGCCGATCGATGATTCTCACATCAAAGTTTCTCTCTCTCTCCCTTTCTTCCTTTCTCTCTAAAAAATCAGATTGGACTCTTGCCTATGTCTGCAGTTTAAGTTCACAATGTGAGAACACACACACACACACACACACAAATATACACGCACATACACGGGCGCACATGCACATGAGCAATTACTTTTGTGCCTTCACATGGCTCCAGGAGAGGGTCCAGTTCCAAGTACAAGATTAACTAACTTAACGTTCTAGGGAGCACGGGAGAAGCAGGGGAGCGGCGGTCACCTCGGCCATGACCATGTCCTGGCACTTCTTGATGAACTTCCCTTCGGCCTTGACGATGGTCTGCAGGAACTTGATGTACTGCACACTGCGGCCGTGCGTCTCGATGCAGTGCACGAAGTGCTGGACCACCCGCTCGTTGATCTCGCTGCAGAGCTGGAAGTTGTTCATGAAGATGTGCTGCATGGTCACCGCCTCCAGGATCTGGCAGGGAGGGCACGAGGAGGGGCATCAGTGGCGGGCAGAGTGCACGTGAGCACAAGCAGAGTCCGCCCATACAGGGACCGCCTGCCTCTCGAAGGTCTCTCTCCAGTCCCGCTCCTGCACCGCCCTCCCCCCTCCTAAACCTTTCAGCCATCAGGAGCACGCTGAGAGCTAGTCAGGCGTGCTCGGCTGCAGGGGTCACCAAGGGACACCAGTGCCCCGACCAGAAATGGAATAGCCCCTAAAGGATGCCCTGCCCGCCCCCAATTTCACCATGATTTGGACTTCTACAACCATAGCTTCATTTAGCCTGTTTTTTTTTTTCCCCAATATATTTTCATTGATTTCAGAGTGGAAGGGAGAGGGAGAAGGACAGGGAGAGAGAGAGAAAAATAATGATGAGAATTATTCATCGGTTGCCTCCTGCCCGCCCCACACTGGGGATGAAGCCTGCAACTGGGTGTATGCCCTGACCAGGAATCAACCGTGACCTCCTGGTTCATAGGTCAATGCTCAACCACTGAGCCACGCCTGCCGGGCCGTTTGGCCTGTTCTTGACCCTCATGCATTCTTGTCCCTCTGGCTTCTTTATTCCAGAAAGAATATCACATTCCAATATTGTGATGTTGTCACCCATGCTGGTCTGTCTCCTGTCACTGCTATGGCCAATTCACTGTCTGAATCACCACAATGTAGTCATTTCTTCCATTGCTGGTGGGCACGTGGGGAAGTGTCCGGTTTTAATGACGAGTCGTGACACTGTCCTCACTACACATATGAACAGGGCTGCTCTGAACACTCTCGAACGTGTCTTCCGGGAAACTCAACGTGTGCATTGCTCTGGGGTTTAGGCCCACGAGCGGAATTGCTGGGGTGCAGGGTTTCAATATGTGTGGCTTTAGGAGACGCGTCCAAACAGCCTCCAGAAGATGTCAGCCATTCACGTGCTGTGGTATGGCTGTTCCAGATCCCTCTTAACACTCGGCATTGTCCGTCTTTCTCATTTCAGTCCGATCTTTCTTCATTTCCATTTCTTTGAAGACCCACCACGTGGGAGCGCCCGGTCATATCACCAGCTGCGTGGATGTCTCTGCTACGAGGGTCTCGTTTTAACGGGTTTTGCTCATTTTAAAGGAGGGTTGTCTGTTTTCTTCCTCATTGACTTTTCTGTTTGTTACACGTTCTGGACATGAATTCTTTCCTGGACATGCGCATTGCCGTGTCTCCTCTGGCTCCTGGCTTGCCTCGGACGCTCTTGGTGGTGTCACTTACTAAACAGACATTCTTGAAGAGGCCCACGTGTCAACGACTTCTTTTACGATTAGAGCTTTCAGCAGACTGCGCAAGAAACTGCACATCCGCACGGTCATGAAGATGCTTGTACGTTGTCTTCCAGCTTTATTCTCTTTTTACCCAGACTTACTACTGAGTTACTGAGTGTTGTTTGGGGCGAGGTCTAGGGGCTCTCAACTTCTCACCTTTTGCCTTTTCTTTCTCTGAACAGAGCTCTAGCGGTGCTGATAAGTGATGGTGTGCATGTGTGTGCATACGTGTGCATGTGTGAATGTGTGTGCGCACAGGTGTGCCTCTGCGTGTGCTCATACAGGGATGTCCGTTGTAATGCTGTTTGCAAAACCAACAGCTAGGCCCTGCCTAACTCTCCGTCACCAAGAGAATGGTTTTAAGACGGCTCACAGCCATTCAATGGGGTGCCGTGTAGCCACCAAATGGAATGAGGAAAAGATGGAACT